ATGATGTTAAGAGTTCAAAAAGTGTTGGATTTTGGAGCATTTTGGAGTTTCAGATTTGGGGTGCTCAACTTGTATAAACTCAAGAGAAATAACAACATAGGTCCCCACAAAAACATGCATATGGATGTTAACAGCAGCACTATTCAAAACAACCAAAAATGAGAAACACTAAATGTCCACCAGTGGGTGAATGAATAAATAAAGTACATTCTATCCATACAATGGAGTATTATTCAGCTGCAAAAAAGTATGAAATACTGATACACGTACTACATGGACAAACCATGAAAACACACCACACGAAAGAAGCCAGACATCGCGTGATTCCATTTATACTAAATGTCCAGAATAGGAAACTCCATTGAGGCAGAAATCAGATTTGAGATTGCCTAAGTCTGGGGATAGTGTGGGAAATGGGGAGTGATTGATAACAGGTATGGGTTTTGGGTCATGAGGATAATGTTACACACAACACACACACACACACACACACACAACAGTTACAGAGGAAACTGAGCAACTGAGGCAAAAACTATTAATAACTCCAAGAAACACAAAAAGTTGGACACTACTTGATCAGGCATTAACAATGTTTATATAATCAGCTGGGTACGGTGGCCCACGCCTGTAATCCTAGCACTTTGGAAGGCCGAGATGGGCGGATTGCCTGAGCTCAGGAGTTCGAGACCAGCCTTGGCAACACGGTGAAACCCCGTCTCTACTAAAATACAAAAAAAAAAAAATCCGCTGGGTGTGGTGATGAACGCCTGTAATCTCAGCTACATGGGAGGCTGAGGCACGAGAATTGCTTGAACCCAGGAGGCAGAGGTTGCAGTGAGCTGAGACTGTGCCACTGTACTCCAGCCTGGGCAACAAAGTGAAACTTTGTCTCAAAACAAAACAAAACAAACAAACAAAAAACCAATGTTTACAAAATCATAATATTGCAGACAGGAACTGCTGATTTAACCAATAAACAAACCAAACCAAACAAGACGATTTAGAAAGCAAGCAGGCATGACGTCCACCTCCACTGCGGCTCCTCTGCACGCGAGGAACAGCCTTCTCTCAATGCCTCTGTCACCTGCCCCTGAACTGGAGATGAGCACAGGACACGTGACCCCTGACCCGCCTCTGAGAGCAGAAAAGGGGATGTGCAGAGACCAGAAGGGACATCCTGGCAGATGCTCCCTCCCTCTCCGCCAGGATCCCAGGAGTCCTGTTCATTGGAATGAGAGCATCTGCATCAAGGGATCATTGTCAGGCAGCACAAAGAAGTTCCCAGTAACTGAGCACTGTTTAAAAATAATAATAGCCGGGCGAAGTGGCTCACACCTGTAATCCCAGGACTTTAGGAGGCTGAGGCAGGAGGACCGCTTGAGCAGTTTGAGACCAGCCTGGGCAACATAGCAAAATCTCATCTCTATAAAAAATACAAAAAGTAGCCAGGAGTGCTGGCACGTGCCTGTAGTCCCAGCTACTCGGGAGGCGGAGGTGGAAGGATCGCTTGAGCCCAGGAGGTTGAGGCTGCAGTGAGCTATGTTCGTGCCACTGCACTCCAGCCTGGGGAACAGAGTGAGACCCTGTCTCAACCAATGATAATAATAATAGTCATATCCTAACCTCTACCAGCACTACTACTTTGAAAACAAAGCTGGCCCCAGAGCTCCATAGAGCAGGACAGTGGGGACACCTGGTGGCCGGGGAAGCCCCTGATGCTTGTCCCAGCAGGATCCATGTCTGGACTTTCCTGCCCCTTGCACAGACCCTGCTACCTCTGAGCACCCAGCGGAGTTCCCAGTTCAGCATCAGCGTCCAGTGGAGCCCTGGCCTTTCTCTCCAGGCAGCAGCCTCCTGCTCCGACTGTCTCCAGTCTGGCCCTGGTGCCACTTGACTCCCTGCCTCCTGACCTCAACCCATGCCTTCCATCTGCCTCTTTCTTCCATCCGAGCCCTGCCTTGTTGCTCCTGCCCTCTGCGATCTTTCTCCGAAGCTCCAGCTGGCAACAACTCCACACCCCTCTGTCTTTGTCCTTGTCATCGCACAGCTACCTCCTCACCAGCACCTGCTGTATGCCAGGCACCACGCCCAGCTGCACCACTCTGTCCTTCCCGCAACAGAGCCTGAGGCAGTAGGGATGGTTATTACCCATTTTGCGGAACCAAGGTTCAGAGTGGTGACAAGACTTTCCCAGCCTGGGTGATGGAGGAGTCAGCGTTTAAACCCAGCACCCGGGCTCTTACCCACGACTCTGCCCCCGATGGAGAAGCCACTCCTTGCTGCTACAAAAGGATGCCAGAGCGCAAATGTGAGGCCACCTAAGAGTACCCGGGCCACCTGCTTCAACGACAGCTCAGAGAGGGAAGAGATGAGCCCCGGCCACAAAGGAAGCTGTGGGCAGAGCTCTCTAGGACCCAGGCCTGGGACAGATCCTCAGAAAAGGGAGATCCTTGGGGCCACACAACCCTCTGGCCACCCAAAAAGAAAGATGAACCACACGTGAGACCTGAGCCCTCACCTGCCAGCCGGAGCCCCCAGGCCCCAATGTGTGTGGCTGTGTCTGATCTGGGTGGACAGTGTCCGGCTGCACAAGGCTGCCACACCTAGGGAGCTTCCTGAGCAGACGGAAATGGGCTGCACAGGTGGCATGCACCCAAGACAGGGCCCCCTGCCTTGTTCTGTGGCCCACCCAGGGGGGTCAGGCCACAGCAGGTGGGCAGGTCAGGGCCGGCGGCCTGGCTCCTTCTTCAGATTCACACCAACTGCCCAGCGGCAGCCTCTGGAAGGGCTAACTTCTGGGCACCTGCACATGGCCAGGTGTCAGAGGAACATGAGGGGCTTTGTGCGAAACCCCATATCTCCACTTTTCTCCTACCAGGTCTCGGAGCTGCCGGGGCTGGTGGCCCTTTTCCTGTGCTCTGGTACCAGAGGCATGCTGGGATCTGGACTGGCTTTGTAAGTAACACCCCCTAGCTTTGCTTGAATCTTGACATAGACAAGAGGAGGCAGCTGCAGGGACCTAGGCCAACTCTGCCTTGCTTCTTCCCTGGAAAGGCATCTCAAAGGCAGGCCTTGGGAGGAATTAGGGATGGAGGATGGAGCCACAGTCCTGGGCTTGGTGGACACTCTGTGGCCACCCTCCCTGAAGTCCCAGGACACAGCTCTGCCTGCCCTCCAGGAGCCCACTGCAGCCTGAGTGCCATCCCTGGTGGCCACCTAGGGGAAGAAGCTCTCCCCAGGGACCCGGAGCTGGGGAAGAGGCCTCAGCACTCAGCTCTGACACCCACAGTGTGACTACTCTTAGTCCCTAACCCGGCACGTGGCACCAGCCACCTGCAGTGAGCGTTTGCTGGAGTTAGACTCATTCTATGAATAAGGGGTCCTGAGTCCAGTGGGGCGTGGCTTGCCAGTGCACTGGAGTCAGAGGCAAGAGCCCACTGGGACTCAGGTTCCGCCCCATTTCCCCACCCTCTTCACTGCCCTGGTCTACGAAGCAACCAAGCCTGACACCTCCCCAGTGACCATAGGGAAGCCAGGCTGGCAAAGGGTGGTGATGGGTAGCCCCCAGGGACGAAGCTCCCAGCTCAGGGGCCCAGGCTTCCCTCTCACTGGCCCTTACCCTAAACAAGGGCAGTCTGTTCTCACATTGACCCTGCCCCACAGCCTTTGGCCCTGGCTGTCTGAATGGCCTGCAGGTCCCGACTGCCATGCACGCTCTGTGCACGCTTCTTCTCCACCACACCACCCTCAAGAGCCTCACCTAGATGCAGCCGCCTTCTCCAGGGAGCCTCCCCTGGTCCACTAGGGCTGGGAATTCCTATAGCCCCTGAGTTCCCATCAGAACCCTTATCAGCATGTTCTGGAATTGCACGTATACTTGTCTGTACCTCCCCCCAACCCTACCCAGCAAGAATTAGATCTCTGTCTGTGTTATGGCCACAGCTTCTAAAATAGGGTCTGAAACACCGAGCTCACCCCATCAATGTCTGAGGCAGGGAGGGTTTGATGGAATATGAATGGTTGGATTAATATGTAGGTGGATGCTGGAGGAAGGGCAGAGGGAGAGATGTGTGGCTAGAGGGAGGGAGGGAGGGAGGGATTGATGTGTAGAAGGTTGAGTGGGTGGGTGGATGGAAGGATATATGAAAGAAGGGATGGACAGGTGAACATGTGGAGAAATAGATGAATAGATGGATGGAGAGATGGAGGAGGGAAGAATGGATGGAGAGATGGCAAGATGAATAGAGGGAGGGAATGAGTGGAGGGAGGAGTGGACGAAGGGAAGGGAGATGGGTAGAGGGATGAGGGAATAAATAGGAGAAGGCGTGGATAGATACAGGAGTAGATGGATGGAGAGACGGATGGAGAGACGGAGGGCTGGACAGAGAGAGGAATGAGTAAGGGAGGGTCACATGATGAATGGATGGAAAGGGGGCAGTCAGTAACAAAGTGGCAGGAAGCTTCCAGCCACCACCATGGGAGGGAGGGGTTCAGGACAGGAGAGAAGAGAGAAGAGAGGGCAGGAGGCACCCAGGTGCCAGCAGGTGCACCCAGGCCCCCAACCTCCCTTGGCAGAAGGCTCTCAGAGAGGTTCTTCATGCCAGGAACCAGCACCCTCTGAGACAGGCACCCCAGGCACACTGGGAGCGTGCAAACATTTGGGGCTTCCCTGAAACTCCTGGGCACAGAACATGACAAAAAGCTAGGCCTCCTGCACCATGCAGGACAGGCTGGGCTGTGTTCTGGGCATCAAGGAGAGGCCAGGCCCTGAGGAACAAGGGGGTCAGCCCCATCAGGGATACCCCTGTGCTCCCTAGTTTAATCTTCACACCACCTGGAAACACTCCGTGTTACAATTCCCATTTCACAAATGAGGTGACTGAGGCTTGGGGCAGTGAGGGAACCCACTAGGGTCGCACCACCTGGGTTCAAGCTGGGATTCAGAGCCAGGTCGCTGTGCCCCCCACAGACTGACACAGAACCCGGGGCTGTCCACCTACCTGAATCCCCTCGATGCGCTCGGTGACGACATAGGCATGGTGCATGGCCACCAGTGGGACCTTGACTCCAGCCATCCGGCCCACAGCACTTGCCCACACTCCTGCGGGCAGAGCACAGACAGCTCAGCTCTGCTGACATGTGGTGGGAGCTGCCTCTCAGGTGTGCACAGGCTGCCTCTGCAGACCTGTCTGCCCTAGCAGGGGCTCCCCACCCCAGAAAGAAGCCCTGCAGAGGTGGGAGCAGGTTTAGGGAGCAGCCAGCATGGCCACACAGGAGTCAGGAGAAATGCTACTCCCACCTGCACAGTTGACCACGCAGGGCGTCTGGATGGAACCGTGTTGAGTCTCCACACCTGCGACCCGCCGCACCCCAAAATCATCTGTCCACACACGAATGCCAGTCACGGGGCAGTTCTCAATGACCTGGGATTGAGAGGAACTGCTTCTAAAACTCCACGGGACTCCCTGGGGGAGTTTACCAACCCCCCTTCAACCAACCTGTCCTCCCAGAGGGGAGCTGGGGACACTGTTTCTGCTAGCAGCAGGTCCCCTGTGATACTGTCAGGGAAACGGGATGACCACAGCACCAGAAAACTAGACCCACCCATGCCTTGACTTGGAGAACTTGAAAGTTGGTCAAGTTCTTTCACTTGACTTGTTGGGGGAAACCCTCTTTTCATAATGTGAAAAAGTAACTGACTTTTTTTTTTTAAAGCAAGATATTTGATTAATGGAAAGATGTTTGCAGTCTACTGTTTGGTTAAAAAAAAAAAAAAGGTCACAAAAAAACAGAACCTTGGTTCTATTTTGCATACATACATGTTTTCATAGAAAAATATTTGGAGTAAAACATACTAAAATGTCAATACTAGTTACTGCTGTGTGATTTTGACTTCTTTTTTGCTTATGTGTCTTCTTAAAATTGTTCTACAAAGATGTGCGGAGTTGAGATAAATGCAGATACAAATTACAAGAAGGGCTTTTGAGACAATTTGCTCATGCAGCAGAGGAATGGGTGCACCCACGGCATGACCTGATGTCTGTGAACAGACCGAAGGCATAGCCTCCCCTTGGCAGGGGTGGACCAGAAGGCTCAGCGAGGTCCTCACTGGCCCCAAGTCACACAGCAGTTGGAGAATGGCTGCTGTTCTCTTGCCTTCTGCTCTCAGGGTTCTAAGGCAGGAGGAGTGGGCTGGGGGCAGGGGACCCAGAGCCGGGCGGCTGTCAGTACCTGTGCTCCTCGGGCAGAGGCTGCCCTGGCGAGGGTGCTACAGGTGCCAGCAGGGTCCATGGTACCGTCGTGGGGCACATACAGGGTTCCATAGAGGTCGTCCACATTCATCAGTGGGTACAGAGTCTTGGTCTCTGCCGGGCTCAGCACGTGGGATTCCACACCATATGCCTTGCCCAGCTGGGAGGACCCAGGGAGATTAACTGAGTCCGTGGGAAGCAGACCCCTGGGCCACTCCCTCCCCAGCTGGGCATCCACCGCAAACCCCAGCCTCACTTTCTCCCAGAAGCGTTAGCTGGTGCCCACGCCTTTGGAGCCTGTCCCTTGAATCCGCTTCAGCATAAGAGTTAAGGAGCAGGGGATACTCCATCGAGGCAGGCTCCAGGGCCAGGCCCCCTGTGCCAACCCGACCCTCACCAGCTGTGTGACCAACCTGGGGCAAAGTCGCTTCAGGCTCACCCAAGTGAAGTGGGGGTGAGAATAGTGTACGTCACTGACCAAGAACTTAGACCAGTGCCCGGCACAAAGTGTCTATTATATAAAATAAATAACCCCACAAGTCTAATACTTTAGGCCTGAGAAGTTTCCCAGTCAGACCAGCTGCCAAGAAAGAGGAAGGTCCTCAGTTTCAGAGTGTCAGATAGACCACGCCCCCACATTGATTGGCCCAAGAACAGCCAATCAGTGTCCTCAGGCGTGGACCACTAGGACAGGGAAGAGCTGAGCCAATCAGATTCCCTGTCTGGGAATTCTGAATGAAGCCTGGCAAAGTCACTTTCTCCAGGTGGCACAGCCAGCAAGGGGCAGCGCTAGGGCTGGAACCCAGATCTGTCACCTGCCGGGGCTCCTTCCCTGTGGCATGTCCTCTCTCTCGTGGCAGAACGGTGCCCACCGACATAAGCCCCACCCCCGACCCCGCAGGAGGCAGACTCATCCACACAAGCCCCCCACCCCCAGCCCCTCAGGGGATGCGCACACGGACATGAGCCCCCGGTACCTCCATCCTCACAGGGAGCCCACCCTACCCCCTACAGGGCGTGCACCCACCAATATGACCCCCCAGGGAGTGCACCCACCCACCCAAGCCCCCCTCTCTGCCCCCCGCAGGGGAGCACACACCGACATGAGCCTCTTGTACTCATCCAGGCGCTGCCGGTTGGACGCGATGAAGAGGCCCCCATTCTGGATCCAGCCCGTGTGTAGTCCCGTCTCCTCCTCCAGCTCCCGGCTCACCACACGCCGAGTGTGGGCCAGAAGCTCCACCTCCACGTCACTGGGCCGCAGCTGCCACAGCAAGCCTGCCCGGGAGGGTGGGTGCCATCACTCCCCAGGGAGGGGACTGCACCTCCTTCCCCCTCTACGAATATCTGGAGATACCCTGATATTCAACCATGGGTGTCTTTCTCTGCAGGGTCTTTCTCTCCAGGCCCTGGGGGGCCTGGAGAGGTTGTTGAGCAGGAAATAACGGGACCAAGATGAATGTGAGGGAGGTCTCGCCTTTGGGCAGCTCAGAGAGTGACATAACAAAAGCCCCCATTTTTGGAGCACCTACTGTGTGCCAAGCCCCGTGCTAAGCCTGTCGTCCTATGAGGAGGGCGTGATTCTCTTATCAATCAAGTTCAAGTGGCACCAACAGTTCTGTGGCCAAGGTCACAGAGCAGGTGAGTGGGGGCACCAGGACACCAACCCACTACTGAATGAAGCCTAAATCTTCACTCTTCCCAACAAAGGCTGCTCTCCAGCAGCTGAGTCTGAGAGGTGGCAGGCCAGGGGTGTGACTGATGAAGTGTCAGGGAAGGGGCTATGACAGCCCAGCTAGAGGCCAGTGAGAAGGCAAGAGCAAGGGTTGGAGCAGTGGCGTGTGGGAGCCGGCTCACATCAGCTCTCAGGAGCCTGGGGATAAACCTCTTCCCAACTCCACAGTCAGTGACCTCATACTGGTGCTTTGCTATTGGCCAAGGCGGGAGTGTTTATACCACAGAAATTGGCCAACACTGCAAGTCAGGAGATCCAGTTTACCAGGATACCCATGGTTGAAAGGGTGAAGGCAGAAGGTTGGCTGTCCTGGGACATGCACACCATAGGTGCTTAATACATGCCCACTGGTTAGTTAGGAGAATGAGAACTGTAGAAGCCTCTGGTGCTCATAGAGGACACAGGTCTGCTTCACCCCTAAAGGTCTCCGTCTGTCCCCCTCCACTCCCTGGGATGCCCTCAATCCTGGTGGCTCTGGCCGGGAAAGGGGCTTCTGCTCTCTGGACCAGCTGCCTGGAGTTTCCGGCCTTGGTCCCAGCTTCACTCTCCAGGCCACACAAGCAGCATCTACTTCCTCCTCCCACCACAGCTCTTGAGAGACTTGGAGGGCAAGCGGTACCCCCAGCTCCACCCACCTGCAAATTGGCCAAGCACCCTTCCCCAGGGTCTCTTCCCCAGGCTGGTGGTTGTTAACCCTGAACTGTCTCAGCTAGCAAGGGACTGTGGCCCCTCACTATGTCCTATCCCTCCCTGCCCCTACCTGGCCCCTGGTCCCTACCTGCCGTGTGCCAGGTGGTCCCGGAGGTCAGCCGCTCCCGCTCCAGCAGCACCGCCCCACTCATGCCCAGCTTGGCCAGGTGGTACAGAGTCTGGCAGCCCAAGCTGCCTCCACCAATGACCACCACGTTGGCTGTGCTGGGCAGGGGTCGGCTCGGACCTTGGGCCACCACCGAGGTGCTTTGTCCCTCCTTCAGGGTCCGCTGATGTGGCACACTCTTCTCGGCTGTGGGGCCAGATGTGCTGGACAGGTTGCATGGCCCCAGGCCCCGGGTAGGGCTCTGGCGAGGGCGGGCAGCAGCCACACGCAGGGCTCGGCTCAGTGAAGCCATGGGGGCTCCGGGCCTCAGCACAGCAGGGAGCTGGGGAGAGAATCAGAGCTGGGTGGGGTGCAGAGGGGACACGGTGGGGGCTGTGCTGAGTACCCAGGGGAATAAGGGCCCTACAGTGTTACCTCCCAGGACTTTCCTCCTGCCGCTTCCCCGTGTCATGCATGCATTCATTCATTTATTCATTCATTCATTCTGTGTGTATTTTTAAGGACCTGGTATGCAGCAGGCTCTGTCAGTGCCCAGGGGCAACCATGGTGAGGATAGGTCTCTGCCAGGCCACAGAAAAGACAGGGAGCGCCAAGCTCTGGGTAGGAGTGGGGGTCGGGGCCACAAGGGGAGGCAGACAAGAGTGGTTGATGTGGCTGGCAGAGGTCCAAAGTGAGACCTGAGGAAAGCGGGCTGCCCCATGAGGCAGGGCAGGGAGGACGGGGAGGGGACTGAGGACAGAGGACCAACAGCTGGAAAGGAGGAGCTCTGGTCTCAGGGACGCTCACCCCCAGGTCGCAGAGAGGGAGAGGCCGGGGCTGGGAGGGGGCCGTCCCTCCAGTCTCGAGAGCCCTTTCAGAGCTCAAGATGCTTCTGAGGGACCATGCAGCCCTGGAACCCCATAGGTCTGTGCTGGGGCAGACCCCAGGTCTTGTGGTGTGGGGATGGGACCTGGGGGAGTGCCCAGAGAAGGCGGTGGTGGAGGCACAGCAAGGCAAGGCGGGGGCTGTGTTGAGGGATGGAGTCACTTGCACTCCCAGACAGCCAGCCAGGAGGAGGGAGAGTCACTGCGGACGCTACAGCAGTGGCCACAGGGTATCAGCAGGCAGCCTTGAGATGGGGCGCCCAACCCCCAAGCCTGGAGCCAGTACCTCCTCCTGGGCAGGCCCCTCCCAAACCCAGACAAGAGGTGTTGCCCCCTCTTCAGCCCCAAAGCTCGGTGGGACCTAAGGCAGAAGCTGATGAAGGATGTGGTGTCCGGGCTCTGCTCCCTTGGGGCCACTGGGATTGCAGAGTAGGGGCTCAGAAGCTAGGTTAACAGGCCTTCCTCCCCTCTGCTCCATCCCAGCTGACCTACCCCAAATCCCTCCTCCTTCAGGAAGCCCTCCCAGATCTCCCCAGCCAGAAAAATCCAATAACAATGAGAATGCAAGAGGGAGCCCTCCTTCTCAGGAGAGAAGGCGCTGATGAAAACTGATGTCTCCTTGGGTGCGGGTGACGCAGGACAGGCAGTCAAAGGAGTCATCATGTCCGGGGGATGCAGCAACCGTGGTGACTGTGCAATCAATACAATCAGCCTCCACGTTTGCGTTGTAACTGAGCTCGTTCAAGCAAAGCTGTCTGCAGTAGGGCCTTTCCCCTGGAGAGGACAAGCATGCATTGATTTCACCTGTCCTCAAACTGACCCTTTGCTCATTCTAATAGTAAAAAACACACCCCTGGGTGGAGATTTTAAGATGCTAATGGGCTGGGGGGCTCATGCCTGTAATCCCAGCACTTTGGGAGGCCAAGGCAGGCGGATCACCTGAGGTCAGGAGTTCGAGACCAGCCTGATCAACATGGAGAAACCCCCGTCTCTACTAAAAATACATTAGCCAGGTGTGGTGGTGCATGCCTGTAATCCCAGCTACTTAGGAGGCTGAGATAGGAGAATTGCTTAAACCTGGGAGGTGGAGGCTGCAGTGAGCCAAGACTGCGCCATTGCACTCCAGCCTGGGCAACAACAGTGAAACTCCGTCTCAAAAAAAAAAAAAGATGCTAATGAGACATGTGACATTTGAACAAGCATGTACAGCTACCGCATGTGCACCCAGAGGACCCGCCATCACATGTTTCCTAGTAACCTCTCTTTCCACCCGCTTATGAATAATTGTGGAAGACTCCCTGAAAGAGGGTTTCTCCAGCAATGGTCAACGCTGCCTCACCCTTAGGAGCAGTCCCCCCAAATCCTCTCTCTCCCAGGGTGCTGCACTGTCTTTTCCGCACCTGACTTTCAAAATGTTCTTTTTCCTTTGCAATAAATCGCTCTATGCTGCAGCTCTTTTGCTGTGTGTCTCATGTTTAAATTCTTTTTTTTGTTTGTTTGTTTTTTTTTTTGAGAAAGGGTCTCACTCTGTCATCCAGGCTGGAGTGCAGTGGCATGATCTCGGCTCACCGCAACCTCTGCCTCCTGGGTTCAAGCGATTCTCTCGTCTCAGCCTCCTGAGTAGCTGGGATTACAGGTGCATGCCACCAGGCCTGGCTAATTTTTGTATCTTTAGTAGAGACAGGGTTTCACCATGTTGGCTAGGCTGGTCTCGAACTCCTGACCTCAGGTGATCCGCGTGCCTCGGCCTGCCAAAGTGCTGGGATTCCAGGCATGAGCCACTGTGCCCGGCCTAAATTCTTTAAACTAAGAAGTTAAGAACCAAGGTCTCACAACAGCCATCAATGGAGGGGTGGGGTGGTGTCCTGCGCAACGTGGACCTCCACTGCCCTTTTCTGGGATCGGCAGGAAAAGTGAAAGGGATGTGGCTGTGATCCGAGGTGTGAAGTGCTGTGCCACCTACATCAGTATGAACGATTGATGTAATTAGCTGAGAAAGTCAGCCTCGTTTTTCAAGAGTGGACCATATGCTATGCACGTTCGTTCACTCTCGTTGAACACCTATAGACACATACTTCACAGCGGGGGAGTCTGACACATGGAGAGGCTCCCTGAGGTGACCAGGGTCACAGGGCCTCCATGTGGCCGTGCCAGGGACTCTCTCCTGCCCCCTCTTCTGACCATCCCAGGGGGACTCAGGACCCACTGCCACACCCTGTCCCACCTGAACTGTGGGCACTGCCCAAGCCTGACGAGGTGTAGAACCCTGTCCTAGGTATAGTGGGGGATGTGAGGGGGATCCCAGCTCTCAGGCAGGTCAGGGCGGCCCTCCCATCCCCTGCCCCAGCGCCCTATCCCCAGGGAGGGAGCAGGGAGTCTGCTCGGAGTGGCGAGGGGAGTGCGGAGGGGTTGGAGCTTGTCCTTAGCCTCTCAGCCCTCAGTGTGTCAGCCTGTCTGCCTCCTGCCTGCAGAGGTGGCCCCAGACAAGGAGGCATGCCCCCTGCATGTGTCTGTACATACCTTCAGTGCTTGAAGGTCCACAGTCTTCCAGGAGCCCCCAGAAGTGGTGCCCTACGAGGGGAAAGCCAGCTTGAGTGGCACCGAGGAAGGTTCTCCAAGGCTGAACACCCCTGCCCCACCCCCCACCACGGTGCTGCACAGCACAGTACACCTGGTCAGCTCTGGGCAAAAGTCTCTCTCCTCCTTCCAACTGTGCCCAACGCAACGGCTGCTGGCGCCAGAGGCTGCCACGTGCCCCTTCACCACCTGTCTGGTCAGGGCTCTCGGGACTGCCAGACTGGGGGCTGGGGGCTGGCAGCGGCCCCAGTGGAGACAGCCCGGAGTCCCTCCTGCCTGCCACCTCCCTAGAAATAGCTGCCTCCATATTAACCCGCTCTCCTGCCCCCTCCAACTCTCTCCCGCCCCTGAGTCAGCTGCCCAGGAGTGAGGGCTGAGGACAGCCCTGGGCTTGGGATCAGACAGACGGTGGAGGTTTTGTTACAGGACCGGGGCCTTGAGCAACAACTTAACCTCACTGCAAAGCAGGGGACCCAGGAACGCCCTCCTCCTCCCAGGCTCAGGGGGTGGCAGGGGTCGAGCGAGGAGAGCGCCTGGCACCTTCGCCTGGGGCGGGAAGGCAGACTGTTGGGAGGAGCGGTGGGGGGCGGGGAGGCAGCTGCCCATATGGTGAATCCTGGTCCTGCTCACCCAACTGGATGGTCCCTGCAGCCACAGGCAGAGGGAGATCCCAGCCAGCTCTGGCCAGGCCCAGCCCCGCCCACATAGGGGAGGCCCCAGTCTTGTCCCTCCCTGGGGGTGTACCTCCAAGTACCTCTCGTCAGCTGCAGCGCCCCTCAGCCCTAAGAGTGCTTGGCCCAGCGGAGGTGCCTTCACCTTCTTGCTTCCCAAGCAGTGGCCTGGCCGGAACCCCAGGCCTCCCCCGCCCCCTGGCCTCGCTGCCAGCCCCATGTCGCCGCCCAGGATCTGGGCGGAGCGTACCGCCCACCGCCGCGGCTTCTAGGCCAGCCCAGTGGGCAGCTCCCTCTGAGGGTGGCAGAGCAGGGCTGTAAACCCCATGCCCCATTACCCGTAGGCGACCTGGCAGTCAACCTCCCGCTCCAACCCTCATTTCCTCATCTCTGAAACAGAGGCCTCAGGGTTGCTGCAGTGGACCCAGGCACGCCTGCCTGCTGGAGCCTGCCTGAGCTCTCCACGCCCAAAAGGAGCTATGCACAGGCAGGGTGGGCAGGAAAAGCGGGGTCAGCAGCAGCTTGGGCCAGGGGCCTGTCCATTGCAGGGAGGCTCCTTTGGTGAGGTCATCTCAGCACATGTCCCAGTTTGCTCACCCCCAGGGACAGGGCACTTGCTGCCTTCAGAGGTGGGTGAGAAGGCCTGGGTCAGCTTCCCAGGGACAGGGGCTCCTGTTCTGTCTGTGTCGTGCTCTCCTAAGCTCCCAGATCCCTCCCGTGTTTGGGGAGAGGCCCAGGAGCCACTGGCTGTTTTACTGCATGGTACGTAGGCCCCAGGGCAGGGATTCCAGCCTCCAGTGACTGTTGGGGACAGCAGTGCTCAGGATGGGGGCCACACAGCAAGCTGGTGGGGGAGGCAGACTGGATGCTGCAGCCTGACTCTGAGCTGGGGCAAGTTACCCATTCCCAGGCAGAAGTGGACACCCAGAAGAGGGGTGCGGAGGAAATCCAGAAAGAAATCCAGAAAGAAGAAATCCAGAAAGAAATCCAGAAAGAATACACCTCTGGGTCAGGCACGGTGGCTCACGCCTGCAATCCCAGCACTTTGGGAGGCCGAGATGGGCAGATCACGAGGTCAGGAGATCGAGACCATTCTGGTTAACACGGTGAAACCCCGTCTCTACTACAAAATACAAAAAACTAGCCGGGCGAGTTGGCGGGCGCCTGTAGTCCCAGCTACTCGGGAGGCTGAGGCAGGAGAATGGCGTGAACCCAGGAGGCGGAGCTTGCAGTGAGCTGAGATCCGGCCACTGCACTGCAGCCTGGGCGGCAGAGCGAGACTCCGTCTCAAAAAAAAAGAATACACCTCTGGATGCCCAAAGAATCAGAACAGGTGCTGATGTAAAGTAAGATCTCCTCCTCACACTGGATCAAAGACAGGGGTATTTCAATGGCAGTCTGTTAACACTGTAGTGATGCCAGCTGCCAATACCAGAAGTGATCATATACTAATCCGCTGTAATTAATACCAATCAAATTGTTGTGTTATTCGCACCGAGGATGCCCGACTGTCTTGCTGCCAGCTTGTATATCCTCTACATTTACTGAATGCCTAATGTATACAAAGCACTGCTGGGAAACCAATAGTGACATCTAAGATCCAGCCCCTGCCCCCAAGGGGCTCAGGGTCCACAAAGCAGACAGATCCAGGGAAAGGCACGACACCACGAGGCTGGCTTCCTTCCAGCAGGGAATCCAGGAAGACCTCTTAGAGGAGGGGGCCTGGGCTCTGGGCCTGACCACGTGCTGAACCATTCTCAGTCCCTGCCTCAAAGGCAAAGGGCCCACTGGCTTAGGCCCCTGGCTGCCTAGTGGAAAGCTGGCCCCACCAGTTTGAGGCTTGCCTGGGGTGGTGTGGGGGTCCTGGGGCAGAGGACCTCCTCTTCGGATGGTGTGGCTTGCCCAGCGGCCTGAGCTAGGGCTGTGCTCACCCAACAGGGTGACAAACGAGCTCAAGAGGGCAAGGAAGGAGCATGGCCCAACTTCTCCCAGGAGCCCTGGAGGTGCAGGTGCATGGGAGAGAGACACAGCAGACACCACAGCCCCAGGGCAGTGGCCAGGTAGCCCACACCTCTCCTGTCCCTGCACTCAAAGACAAGCGGCAGCTGTTGCAAAACTGTTACAAGCCAAGAGGGCAGCACAGTGACCCTGCACTTTGGACAAGGGGTGGTGGCTGGGGGCCGGCCCTGACCTGTTAGCTGTCTGTTAGCATCACAGGATTTTCATCCAGCAGGGCCTGTTAGCACCAGCTCAGGTCTGGGAGAGGTGGAAAAGCTGTCTTCCCCCCAGGGACTAGTAGTCACAGCTCTGGAGGGGCCAGAGTCGAGACAAGGAGGCCAAGACAAGGTCCTGTATGATCTCGGGGCTGGTCTCATCACCTCTCACTTTGCTGAGACTTAGTTTTCCCATCTTGGAACCAGAGGTTAGAAGCCCTGCCATGTCAGTTTCACAGAAGCCTTGTAAATTTCCCTGAGTAAATTTCCTTCAGTCTGGCTCTAGACCACACCAACAGAGGGGCTACCACCTCAAAGAAGTCACCTCCACCAGGGATAAAATCCACTTGATCATGGTGTACGATCTTTTTAATGTGCTGTTGAATTTGGTTTGCTAATATTTTGGTGAGGATTTTTGCATCTCTGTTCATCAAAGATATTGGCCCATAATTTTCTTTTCTTGTAATTTCCTTGTCTGGCTTTGGTATCAGGGTAATTCTGACTTCATGAAATGAGTTTGGAAGTGTTCCTTCCTCTTGAATTTTTTGGAAGAGTTTGAGAAGAATCAGCATTAATTCTTTCTTAAATGCTTGGCGGAATTCACCAGCAAAGAAATCAGATATCTTGGGCTATTATTTTTTGGGAGGCGTTTGATTACCGATTCAATCTCCTTACTCATTATTGGTCTGTTCAGATTTTCTAGTTTTTGTTTGTTTGTTTTGTTTTTTGTGTGTGGTTTTTTTTTGTTTTTTTTTTTTTTTTGAGGTGGAGTCTTGCTCCCATCACGCAGGCTGGATCTCAGCTCACTGCAATCTCCACCTCCCAAGTTCAAGTGATTCTCCTTCCTCAGCCTCCTGAGTAGCTGGGATTACAGGTTGTACCACCATGCCTGGCCAATTTTTGTATTTTTAGTAGAGACGGGGTTTTGCCATGTTGGCCAGGCTGGTCTCCTGACTTCTGGTGATCCACCCGCCTTGGCCTCCCAAAGTGCTAGGATTACAGGCGTGAGTCACCGTGCCCCATCCAATTTTCTAGTTTTTTTGTGAATCAGTCTTGGTTGGCTGTCTGCTTCCAGCAATTTATTCATTTCTAGGTTATCCAATTTGTTGGCATAGTTGTCTATTATAATCTTGTATATTGCTTTGGTATCAGTTGTAATCTTTCCTCTTTCACTTATAATTTTATTATTTATCTGAGTCTTTTTTTTTTTTAGTCTAGCCTAAGGTTTGTGGGTTTTGTTAACCTTTTAAAAAAAACTCAACTCTTAGCTTTGTTGATCCTGTCTCTTGTTTCTTAAGTCTGTATTTCATTTATTTCTGCTCTGATCTTTCTTTCCTTCTGCTAACTTTGGGCTTAATTTGTTCCTCATTTTATAGTTCCTTGAGGTGTGAAGTTAGGTTTTTTATTTCAGATCATTCTTAATGTAGGCATTTATTCCTCTAAACTTCCCATCTAGAATCACTTTTGCTGCATGCTATGAGGTTTAGTGGTTGTGTTTCCATTTTCATTTGCCTCAAGGTATTATTTTATTTCCGTTTTGATTTCGTATGCCACTCATTAGTTGTTCAGGAGTGTGTTGTTAAATTTCCGCATATGTGTAAAATTTCCACTTTTCCTCCCGTTATTGATTTCTAGTTTTATACCATTGTGGTTGGAAACGATACTTGATATGATTTCAGTCTTCTTAAATGTGTTAAGACTTGTTTTGGGCCAGGCGCAGTGGCTCACGCCTGTAATCCCAGCACTTTGGGAGGCCGAGACGGGCGGATCACGAGGTCAGAAGATCGAGACCATCCCTGCTAACACGGTGAAACCCTGTCTCTACTAAAAAAAAAAAAAAATAGCCGGGCGAGGTGGGGGGCGCCTGTAGTCCCGGCTACTCGGGAGGCTGAGGCAGGAGAATGGCGTAAACCTGGGAGGCGGAGCTTGCAGTGAGCTGAGATCCGGCCACTGCACTCCAGCCTGGGCGGCAGAGCGAGACTCCATCTCAAAAAAAAAAAAAAAAAGACTTGTTTTGTGAGCTAACATACGATCTTTCCTGGAGAATGTTCCATGTGCACTTTGCAAGAATGTGTGTTCTGCTGCCATTGGATGGAATGTTCTGAATCTATCTGTTAGGACCATTTGGTCTGTAATGTTGCTCAAGTCTCCTGTTTTCTTATTGATTTTCCAGCTGGATAATCTGTCTACTGTTTAAAGTGTTGAAGTCCTCTACGATTATCGTAATCTATTTTCCCTTCAGTTATGTTAATATTTGCTTTACATAGTTGGGTGCTCCTATGTTGGGTGTGTATATATATATATGTATATATGTGTGTGTGTATATATGTATATATGTGTATATATATGTGTGTGTGCATATATATATATATATATATATTTTTTTTTTTTTTGAGACAGAGTCTTGCCCTGTCACCCAAGCTGGAGTGTCGTGGCACGATCTCGGCTCACTGCAACCTCTGCCTCTCTGGTTCAAGTGATTCTTCTGTCTCAGCCTCCTGAGTAGCTGGGACTACAGGTGCGTGACACCACACCCAGCTCATTTTTGTATTTTTTTAGTAGAGACGGAGTTTCACCACATTGGCCAGTCTGGTCTCAAGCTCCTGACCTCGTGATCCATCTGCCTCGACCTCTCAAAGTGCTGGGATTATAGGCATAAGCCACCACGCCTGGCCTAGTATGTATATTTTTTGAATTGTTATATCCTCTTGATGAATTGATCCGTTTATCATTATATGACAACTGTCTTTGTCTCTTGGGACAGTTTTGATTTAAAGTCTATTTTGTCTGATATAAGTTAGCCACTTATGTTCTCTTTTGCTTCCCATTTGGGTAGGATAACATTTTTCAGCTTATCTAT